AGTAAAAATAGAAATCATAAGGCACCATCAAAAACATGAAAATAGGGCAGATTTGAAAAACTATCATAATAACTTTTAGAAATTAGCAAAATATAGAGAGCCATTAAAATGTACAATGTAGAGTATGAGTTGGATCCAACTGAGAGAGCTGGAGAGAGACAAAGTGAGCAGCGAGATTTCCTGCCTGAGGAAATCACCCAGGAGGCAGCTTGGATGAATAAAGCACCCAAAACTATGAAAGACAGGAGACAAGGAGGCCAGACATGAATATATATTATATATATATCACATGCATTTTTAGAAGAAAGAAGGGAGAAAATAGGGCTATGCAATATTGGGAATATTTTTGGCTGAAAGTTTTTCAGAATCAAAGAAAAACCTTAATCTTCAAAAGAAATATCTTACTGAACTTCCAAACAGATAAGTAAAAATTAACCTATACTTAGAAACCATTATAGTAGACATGTAAGATCTCAAGGAAGAGAAGGAAATCTTAAAGTCAACTACAGAGAAAAAATGGAATTCTCAGAAAGGAATGATGATGAGACTGAGGTAGAAGTCCCAACACTAGAAAGAGGAGCCAGAAGATAGAGGCCTGGTAACTTCAAAGCATTGAGAGGAAATAACTAAAATCCTGCTTGCAGCCAAGCCATGAGGCAAGGACAAGGGTAAAACTTACATTTTAAGACATAGTCTTAGAGATTTTCTCATCCATGGTCCCACCTGAAAGTAATGCTAATGAATGTATTTCAGGAAAAAGGAAATTAAACCAACAAGAGCAGGTGAAATGCAAGAAGCAAAGAAAGAAGCAAACTTGTGGGTAAATATGCATAAGTGCTAATTTATTTATAACCAACAATGACTATAATAATAATAGGTACTGGCAGAACCTGCCAGTGGTCAACAAAAACATGGAAGATGGAAGAGGACATCGAGTAGTAAAACATCCTAGCATCCTTACTTTGTTGGAGAATAGAGACATTTGTCAGCTTTAGAGTTTGTTAAATTGTAGGTCAGTGTTAAAATGTAAGGTTAAGGGTGAGGCATACTGTGTTCATGGATTGGTAGACTGGATAAATGTGTTCGGCATCCCCAAATTGATCTATGAATTTAATGCAATTCGAATAAAAATTCCAGAAGGATTTTTTTTTTAGAGACAAGCTGACTATAAAATTTATATGGGAGGGCAAATGAATAAGAATAGATATAACAATTTGAAAAAGAATAAAGTTGGAAGAATCATAGTATCCAATTTTAGGCCTTAACTGTAAAGCTGCAGGAATCATGACAGTGTGATACAGCAGACACATAGACTAATGGAAAAGAATAGAAAGTCTAGAAAAAGACCCACACAAGTATGACCAGTTGATTTTTAATAATGGTACAAAAATATTTAATGGAGAAAAGATAGTCTTTTTGACAAATGATGCTAAAACTATTTAATATCCATATGCAAGAAGAAGAAAAAGAGTCCTATAAAAATTAACTCAAATGGATCATAGATCGAAATGTAAGCGGAAAGCTGTAAAACTTAAGAATAAAAAACAAAAAACAGAACTGCACACATAGGAGAAAATCTTCCTGATGTGGAATTAACCACAGTTGTTATATGTGCACTAAAAGCACGATATGTTAAAGAAAAAAGAATTATAAATTATATTTCATTAAAATGAACAATTTTTGCTTTGCAAATGACACTTAAAAGAATGTAAAAGATAAGCTAAGGACTGGGAGAAAATATTTACAAACCTTCCATCCAATTAATAATTTGTATCCAGAATTTATAAAGAACTCTCAAATTCAACAGTAAGAAAACAATCCAATTACAAAATGGGCAGAAGGCTTGAACAAACACCTTGCCAAGGAGAATACATGCATGACAAACACATGAAAAGATGTTCAACATCATAAAGTTATATTTACAAAAAAACCTGTCTATACACAAATATTTATAGCAACCTTCTTTTTGTACAAGTTGGAAACAATTCAAATGTCTTTCCTTTGTTTGGCATTTTAAAAATTTTATTTAAATTCAATTAACATATAATACATTATTGGCTTCAGAGGTAGAGGTCAGTGATTCATCAGCCTTACATAACACCCAGTGCTCATTGTATCATTGCCCTCCTAAATGTTATCACCCAGTTACCCCATCCGCCCCTCTCCCCTCCAGCAACCCTCAGTTTGTTTCCTTTGGTTAAGAGTCTCTTATGGGAGGGCAACTGGGGAGCTCAGTCAGTTAAGCATTTGCCTTCAGCTCAGGTCATGATCTCAGGATCCTGGGACTGAGCCTTGCATCAGGCTTCCTGCTCAGCGGGGAGCCTGCTTCTCCATTCCCTGTCTGTGCTCTCTTTCCCTCTCTCTCTCTCTCAAATAAATAAATAAAATCTTTAAAAAAGAGTCCTTTATGGTTTATCTCTCTGATTTTTCTTATTTTATTTTTTTCCTCCCTTCCCCTATGATCCTGTTTTTTTTTCTTAAATTCCACATGAGTGAGATCATATGATAATTGTCTTTCTCTGATTGACTTATTTCACTTAGCATAATACCCTCTAGTTCCATCCACATCATTACAAATCAAATGTCTTTTGATGGATGAATGGGTCAACCGAGTTATGTCCATATAATGGAATACTACTATGCAAGAAAAAAGAATGAACTACACAGATACATGCAACAACTTCAGTGAATTTCAAAGGCTTATAGTGCAGGAAAGAATCCAGTTCAAGACGTTTATGTTTCCAGTTCTGTGTTATTCTCAGAGCCATAAAACTATAGTGTTGGAAATGGGCTAATGGTTGCAGTGGATGGGGAGAGTGTGACTATGAAGGAATTGCATGATGGATGTGTTGGGAGTGATGGAACTGTTCTAAATCCTGATTGTGGTGTTTATCCAAATCTATAGATGTGTTCAAATTTATAGAACTGTGTTTCACCCCCAACAAAAAGTCAATTTTGTTTTCTAATAATTTTTTAAATGTTTCAATATAAGGATAACTAGGAATGTATAACTTCCAAACCAGTAGAAGAAAAAAGAAATAAGACTAAAGAAATAAGACCTAACACTAGAAGGAAGAAAAGTATACAGATATGCAATGAGCTTATTAAGCACACCAACTACAGGTGAGTGGCCACACCCAGTGCTCATTACATTAAGTGCCCTCCTTAATGCCATCACTCCCCATCCACCCCCCCAACCACCTCTCCTCCAGCAACCTTTAGTTTGTTTCCTAGAGCTAAGAGTCCTTTATGGTTTGCCTCCCTCTCTGATTTCATTTAATTTTATTTTTCCCTCCTTTCCCCTATGACTCTTTGTTTTGTTTCTTAAATTTCACATACAAGTGAAATCATATGGTATTTGTCTTTGACTGACTTATCTCACTTAGCATAATGCCCTTGTCTTATTCCTTTTTTTAAAAAGGTATCTGGCAACCGAAGTATCCATCAACAGATGAGTGGATACATAAAATGTGCCATATCCATACAATGGTATATTATTCAGCCACAAAGAAGTGAAATTCAGATACATGTTACAATATGGATGATCTTTGAAAACATGATGCAATATGAAATAAGCCAGATACAAAAGGACACATACTGTATGATTCCATTTAAATGAAATATCTAGAATGGGCAAATTTATAGACACAGAAGGAAGATTAGAGATAACCAGAGGCTGGGGAGGGAAGAATGGGGAGTGATTGCTTAATGGGTAGTGTCTGCTTGGTGTTGATGGAAAAATTCTGGAAATAGTGGTGATAATTGCACAGTATCATGAATATAATGAATGCCACTGAATTGTATACTTCCATGAGTTAAGATGGCAACTTTTATGTTTTATGTATACTTTACCACATTAAAAAATATCATAATCGGGGCACCTCAGTGGCTCAGTGAGTTAAGTGTCCAACTCTTGATCTCAGCTCAGGTCTTGATCTCAGGGTCATGAGTTCAAGCTCCATGTAGGGCTCCATCCCCAGTGTGGAGCCTACTTAAACACACACACACACACACACAAACCAAAAGTTAATATACCAAAACCACTGTACACCTTAAATGGGTAAGCTACACATATAGTATGTGAATTGTCTCAATAAATCTGTTAAAAGAGAAAAGGAAAAATAAAAGAAGTGTCTGAAGGAAAACAGATATATCTTAATGATCAGTACGTGTTTGTTGTATTTTTTCTTACTTTGCTATATTTTGATTTTTTCATATTAAAAAATAAAACATTTTTTTAAAGAAAAGGGAACTCTCACTAGGTAATATTGTGTTATTTAATTCCTTGTTTATTACTTAGGTAGAATCATCATACATCTCTCTCTACCACAGGGCATATCACTAAGAACAAGAGACTCTGTGCTACAGGAGGACCATTTGCGTAAGAATGAGGAGACCTGGGTCTGTTTCTCCCTAACTGACTGGTGCCCTTGGGAAAGTTACTGGACAACTTTGAGTGCCAAGTTCTCATCTTAGACCTTTTCTCTTCCTTTCACAGGTGTCCAGGAGAATCAAATGAGATCACAGTTTAAGTGCACTGTAACCTAAAGAATGATGGATGAATGTACAAATGTCAGGAAGTATTAAACACAGGATTAAACATGCAGAAAATCCACAGATCTCATCGTGGGCAATGCTTTTGACCCTCTGCCAAGCCCATCACAGGCACTGCTCGGAGGCATCCCCACTTGTGTGCACTGGATCATTCCTTGCATGAAGCACAGGGAATTATAGGGAATCACAGGGGGAGGTGAGCCACCAGCTGCATGCTCCGACCTCAGCAAGCCAGGGCTGCTCCAAAGCTCTGCATAATTCCACACGTTTTCACTTTCAGATATGCTTCGAGGAGAAGCAAAACAATAAAAGCCAACGACACTTTCTGGTAAGAGAACACAGCATAGCCTGGAGTGGTAGCCACTGCCCCAGAAGCATCCCCACCAACTTTGGTGAGATGCCCATTCTTTCCTTATGCCCTTGAAGCAGGAGTTGAGGCCACTTACCAACGCTGGCCAAGGTGTACTGGTAGGGCTCTGACAGGAAGTGTGGGAGGGTGAGGATGAAGGCACCCGAAGCTAGGAGGAGACCCCCAATGCCAATCAGCCGTGGACGGTGCACCCTGCTGCCAAAGTAGCTGACAAAGATGATGAGGATGGCATTGCTGATCTGCAGAGAGAGCAGAGGGGCCGAGTGAGACCAGAAACTTTGTCCCTACTCACCCACAGAGGAGACCTGACTGTACCTGCTCCAGGAAAAGCAGAGAGGCAAGAGGCCGCCCACTGTCAGCCTTGCCCAGACAGCCTCACCGTGGGCCCAAGATGTGCTGTTTCCGTCCTCCCCTATGTCAGAATCCCTTCCCAGTCTCAGCCTCCTGGACCAGACAAAGGGAAGTATCTAGAAACCGTGAAAAGCTCATAGCCTCAATTTCAAACATCTTAGGTCCAACCCTTTTGGGGCAAAGTCCAAGGAAGCCTAGGAACATCACATGCTCTCTAACTAAATGCCCTAAGGATGCCGCCTGGTAGTCAGGATAACCACCAAGCAATGGGTACTATCTCATTTCATCAAGCAACAACTCTCTTTTTATGATAACACTGGGACTCAGAATAGTAGGGAACTTGCCCTTGCTATGAGGCTAGGAGGCAGCTGGAATGGGGGAATGCCTGGGTTTAAAGCACCCAGTCTTAACTGGACTGGTCTACTGCCTCTTGGAGAAGTGGGTCTCTGCCCCAGCAGCTCTGCTCCTGACCTGCCCGTTGGGCTTCCTTCCACTCCTGGCAGTGAGGGAGGAGGACTAAGCCACCCCTAAGTTCCTTTTCTGGCTGCAAACATCAGTAACTCTGTGTCCTTGGTGCTCCCTGGGAGGCCTGGTCTCTGAGCCCCACCCTGTGCCAGGGGAGGGAACTGGAGGCCCACCCTAGGGAGCAAGGTCCAAAATGATAAAACGGAGTGTTGGCAGATCTTCCGACTACAACTCCTCCAAAGAGATGATCCTCTGCCCCAGAATGTAAGCTCATCTGGACTGGAGGAGCCCTGGATGTCAGCACCCATAGCCCTGCCCTGTCCATACCATAGCCTCCTTCTGGCTGGAAAACCAACTGCCCTGTCTCAGGAAACAGGAACCAAAGTCTTGGTATGTGGTTCTCATCAAGATCATCAACCGGCCAATTCTCCGTTTTCTTTTTACTTGATCTCTAGGCACCATGTGATTCAGGTGGCCATTCCTTCCTTCCTGAAATACTTCTTTTACTGAGTTTCTCAGTTTCTTCATTTTCTTCCCCTGATGGCTTCTTCTCCATTTCCTTGGCTGGTTCCTCCTCACCTCCCTGAACTCTCAACTCTCATAGCTCACTCCCTGAACCTCCACTCTCTTCTCTTGGTGAGCTCATCCGGTCCCATGGCTTTACATGCTATGTGTGTGCTTCTAATTCTCACAGGCTTAGCACACCCAAACCTCATGTCTCATCTTCCCCTCGAAAACCTGGCCGCCCCACCCCAGTCCTCCTCATCTCAATGGCACCTGCATCCTACCAATCAGTGGCTCAAGCAAAACACCTGAGCACCATCCCTGACTGCTCTTTCACACTCACATGCAGCCATCAGCAATCCCACCAACTGGACCTTCAGCAGCCACCTGGAAGCTGCTTCTCTCCACCTTTATCGCTACCTCCTAGTCTAAGCAACCACCATATGCTATCTGAACTATTATGGTAGCCTCCACCCTGGGCTCCTTGCCTCCACTCTTGCCTCCCAGTAGCCTATTCACCCAGCAGACAGAGTGGTCAAGTCAAACCATGTTTCTTCCATTTAAACCCCAACCAATAAAGGGCAAAGTCTGTCCCAGAGCCTCCCGAGCCCTCCAGAGCCTGCACCCCTTCTCTGTGAAGGCTCTGATATGTGCTCCTCCACCCTTCTCCTTCCCTTCATCCCAGCTGCTCTGCCTCTAGCTGTTCTCCTAACTCACACACATACCCTCCTCTGAGCCTTTGTACTTGCTGCTCCTTCCCTCATCTGTCCACAGGACTCCCTTGACGTCTAACCTACTTTAAACCTCTGCTCAGATGGTAACTTCTTACTAAGGGCTTCTCTGAGAAATAAGGAGGTGAAGTGGGTGAAACGAGTGAAGGTGCTCAAAAGGTATAAACTTCAGTTATAAATAAGTACTGGGATATAATGCCAAGCATGGTGACTATAGTTAAACAACACCGTATTGTTTATTTGAAAGTAGCTAAGAGAGTAGATCTTGAAAGTTCTCATCAGAAGAAAAAAAAGTTGTAACCATGTGAGGTGCTAGATGTAGACTTATTGTGGTGGTCATTTTGCAATACATACAAAGGCCCAATCATTATGTTGTATACCTGAAACTAATATCATGTTAAATGTCAATTATATCTCAATAAAAAAAGGAGTTAGGTAAAACTTACATTTATAATAATTAAATACCACTTATAACTTTAGTTATATTTAAATATATTTTAAAATACAACCACCATTCTCCTCCATGGCTTTATTTTTCTTCATAGCATTTGTTGTAACCCAATCTACCAAGTTTTATTTATTTAAATAAATAAATTAAATAATTAATATTGTTTTTTTATATAAACAAATGTCATATTTATCATTAGAATGATATATGAACAGAGATGTTTATCTGTCTGTTCATTCCTGATCCCTGCACCTAGAGCAATATTTGACACATAGGTGGTACTCATTAAATATTTGTTGACTAAGTAAATGAATGAACAAATGATTGGCTTTTTCAAGAGGGCACAATTGCCCAGAAGATCCCTCCTTTGTGGAAAAGAGTAATATGGTTTATAATATATACAAAAAGAGGGTGTGAGGGTGTGTAGGGAGGCAGCCTAGCCTGATCCAGGAGATTCTGAAACCCATACCTGGAAGCAAAGCTTTATTCCTATGCTTCTTAGAGCTCATCTCCCCCATGTTTTTATTTCTCCAGCATTTTTTTCAAGAACTGATTATAAGTGTCAGACTATGTCTGCTAGGCTAACTGAAGCTGACTTTAGAGGGCCTGGGTGAGGGATGACAGAGCACCCCAAAGGCCAAGGAGGCCTAGGGTGTCCAGGCCCCATGCATCTGGGCTGGCCCTTCCAGCATTCCCAGGGCATGCACTCATTTTTTTTGGAAGAAAGTGGGACCTCCACACCTGTTACAGCTGATGCTGGCTTAAGTCTTTGGTCCCCAAACTTTTCTTCAGCAGTGGAGTCCCTTTGCAAAAAGTTTTTCCATAATGTACTATACTATAATACAATATAATATATCATTTTATATATATAAATGAAGCTGTTCTAGCTGAGGAGAGGAGGGCCTCCACAGTCCACGCCTCACCCCCTCAGCGGCCCCTACAACAGCTCTGTAGACTTTCTGTTAGATTATTGGAAAGTCTGTTACCAAGTCCTGTTGTAACACATCCCTGCCCATCAGGGTCCCAAACCCAGGGGGCCCCAGGGCAAACTGGTGGGAGACATTCAGGCTGGGGCCTCCAGGGCTCCCCTGATTTTGTCTGCTCAGACCTGGCCTTTAGCAGTGGGCAGGAGGAGCGGCTGCTTCACAGACCAAGATGCCCATGTCTTCTCCCATAAGCCAAGTTCCTGGTCTTGCCGTTGGCCTTTTGTGCCCAGCCCTCCTCTCCCCTTCACTCACCCATCAATCTGGAAAGCTCTGAGACTGGGCAGCCTGATACTAATCTGACACTGATTAATAGTGTGCCTAGAACACCATGTTGAGGAGGATTCAGAGTCTGGACTTAGCATGAAAGAGGACTCTGACTACTGATGCCTGCCAGGGTCTTGGGATAGGACTGCAGTGACACAAATGCCAGAGAGGCTGTCTTCCCTCCATGAGTGAGGACAACATGTGCCAGGCGTATTGTTAAAGTCCTAGGCCAACATGAAGAAGGTGCATTCCGTGTGAGGGGTGCTGTGATCAGCGCTGTGTGGGAGCTCGCAGCGCTGCAGGAGCACAACCCACGTGGAGAGGTAGACCGGCCACCGGCGGCACCAGGAAGCCGAAACACGGGTGTGCACACACACATGCATACACACTAAAACACACAGACACAGATGCAGGCAGAGGAAGCAGTGGCTCTGGGAGGGAGTTCAGAGGACAGGGTCTGAGGCCAGTAGAGCTAACTGATGGGCTGCATGTGGGCAGGTATGCGGGTGCCCCAGGTGTGGGAGACAGCCCATGATGCGGAATACGTGCAGAGAGGGGAGGCAAGAGAGATTCTTCTGGCGATGTGTTTGGAGGAGAGCATTTGGAGCAGAGCAGGGCTGTGGACAAGGGAGCAGGGAGGATTGGTCGAAGAGGCGGTTGGGGGTTCAGAGCGGCCATGAGACAGACCCGGGCTCAGATGCTGGCTGCACTGTGTGCGTGTACGTGGCCAGCCTGGATGGGGCACTTAGGCTTTAGATGCAAGTTTCCTCCTCTGGATAACACAGCTAGGCAGAGACATCCCCACTCCTAGGACTGAAAGGGGGATCTGGCACAGGGCAGAGTCTCCTGAGGGCACTGCTGTGTAGGCCATCGAGGGCAAAGGAGTGAAGGGCAAAGAGCGCTTCCAGCTGGGAGCAAGATGGAGGACAGGGAAACTGAAAGGTAGTGGCTGAGGGTGGTGCCAGGAGGCAACCCACCTTCTTTTGCGGCTCCGTCTCAGAAGTTGCCCTGGTGGGGGCCAGGCTCTGGATTACCACATCAGCCTGAATTCCACTAAGTCAAGGAAAGATCTAATTTTGCTCTGGGAGGGGGAGGCCACTGCCTCCACCCCAGAATGGTGGGCCTTGTGGAAAGAGAAGAGAGAAGCCAGGCCAGGGAGACCTGCCTCCTTACCCGGAGCCACTGGTGTTGCAGCCACAATGGAGGGGGCTCTGCTGCCTCCTTGGCCTCTTCCTCCCTGGTTTCCAGTGACTCCTAGCTAGCCCTGTCCTCTGACCTCCCACTCCCAATCTCTGGGGCCACCCGACCTTCCTCTGACCTTGATGAGCAGTCACGGAGGGACATGTGAAACCCACGTTGCTGACAGGTCACAGAGATCTGACCTTGTTTGGGAGTCAGGGCCATTGAGCAGCTCTGGCTGCTGTGATCCTCATAAGACAGGAGCCACCAGGCCTGGGGCCACTTCTCCACCTGCATCCCTGAGACTCATCACCAACCCCCACTCCAGAAACTGAGGATGAGCAGAGGCCACGTACACTTGTGGGCGGCCACAGAACTCAATTAGAGAGACCCAGGGTTTGGCGGCAGATGGCCCTGCATACCTGGGGCGAGCTGCTGCACACCCTCAGCCGTGGTGCCCTCATCCATCAGGTGGGAGGAGTAGAGCACCTGCTCACAGGGCTGCTGTGACTAGGCCCCAAGGTCAGGCCCTGCCAGAGGCTCTTGGCTCAGAGTCTGGTGCAGGGAAGCCTCAGGCAATGTAGCTAGTAGTCCCTAGAACACATTCCCCTCGTGCACAGCCTGGCTCTCCGTTCCCCTGCCCCTCCCAGAGCCCCCAACCAGACCCTGTGATGGGGGGTGGTGCACAAGAGGAGTCTGAGGGACCAGAACCTCCTGCTTACCTCATTCAAGCTGGAGATGAGACCTGAGGAGGAACTGGAGAGGCCAAAGCGCTTCTCGATGGTGGTGAGGCTGCTCTTGAAGTAGGCGCTGTACAGGAGCTGGCACAGCTGCAGGAGGCCATGGCAGAGCACAAACACCTGGGGGAAGACACGCCGGCTGGTGAGGCCTCTGGACTTCCACTGTGGGACCTCCGTGGCAGGAGGTCCACAGCCTGGCCTGTTTCCTCGCCTGTTACTTGGGAACACCTCCATCATGGGATGGTCCTGAGGGTGAAACGGTACCATGGCCACACCGGGGCTCTCCCCGATGGCCTCGCTCGGTGCTGTCCGCCATTGCCTTCATGCCCGCCACTCCTATCGCAGTCAGCATAAATGGCGCCACAAAACCACAGGGCTGGAGAAGCGCCCCCAAGGCAAAGGCCTGACTCTTCAGCCCCACACCCAGGGCACTCAGCACCTTGATTTGCTCTCTCACTGTACCACTGTGCCCTCCCTCTGTGTCCTGGGAGGCCTGGAGGCTACTCTCCAACCGGTCCAGGTTACTCCCAGGGGCATGACACACCCCAAGTCACATTGCTTCACTCTTCTTGACCTGTCCTCCACTTCCCTCTCCACCATCAACACCTATTCTCCGAGGCTCACCTCTAAGGTACCACAATAGGCTCTTAAGCTACCCGGTTTGAGTGGATATCCCCCAGCTTGTCATCACCTCTTATTGGGGGTCCTGGATGGGTGATGGGGCCCTGGGGAAGGCCCCAGGGCATTGTCTCTGCATCCTACCCCACCCCATATGCCTCTCCTGTGGGAATGAGTAAACATGAATGTGAGGTTTGGGTTGATGGGACAGATACAGCTGGGAGGGTGGACAGTGGTTTGTAACATCTGTAGTTGGCTCCAGGCTGAGCGCTGGGATTTCCTGGGTTCTCAGCTGGTGGGTTGGGCCAGAGCAGGCTCAGCACCAGAAGTCCCACATCCCCTGTAAGGTGCCCCTTTCTGGAGATTGCACTTTTCCTTCAGGGATGGGCGGGGCGCCCTGATGTTTCACAGGCTGCCAAAGTTCTTTCCTTAATTGAAGGGCTGGCATCTTAGGACAGCAACTGGGACCCCACCTTCATTTCCGTTTCCTCACACAGCCAAGCCCACCCTCCGTGCAGGGGCCCCTCTCCAGGCTGTGGGATCAGAGCTGACGTTCCCTCTCCTACCTGCTAGGGCAGAGCCTTCAAGAGGCCAGCCTGGGGCTTCTGACAGGGCCCGTCACTGGCTGCCACCCACGCACCATGCTCACGGTCTCCAAATCTGAGGAGGCCATTACACCCACAAAATCACATGCCTCTCCAAATTGTCTCCTGTCTGAGCCTGCGGCCACCCAGCTCCTCACCAGGGACAGAAGGAAGTAGAGGTAGCACTCCCTCCCTGTGTCCCTAGGGAGCCTTTGCTCTGCTTTGCTTCATACATCAGAATTCTTAAGATTTCATGATAAAGGTGTTTTTGAAAGCAGTCTAAGGGCTTTTACAAACAGGGAACTGAAGTCCAGAGAGGGGGATCCAAAGTGCCTGCCTAGCATAATGCATGCAGCTGGCCCATTGGGCTTATGTGCCAGGCCCTCGAGATGCCTGGGGTGAACCAGTTTGGGGCCTGTCTCTCACTTCACAGTGCAACCTTAGCCAGTTCCCGCCCTCTTGGGCCCTTGATTTCCCTGTGAGGTAATTGGGCTGAATTGGTGGTTCTTAACTCAGTTTTGATCCATAATCACCTGGTAGGAGGTGGTGGTGCCTTTGAAATATAGAAGTCAGGCCCAAACCCAGGCCTCCTGAATTAAAATTGGTGGAAGCCCCCTGATTTCTCCTTGGTGTCTCTCATACTTGACGTGCTCTCTGTGTGCCAGTCATGCCCTGCCCCAGGCCCACCTCTCTCCCTGGATTACTGCAGCAATCTCTCACGAGCCTCCTGCCTGCCCCCTCAAAGCCCTCCATCCCACCACCCCAGAGACAACTTTCTCAAACTCAAATGTGAGCAGGCTATCCCCAAATTAACACCGCTCACTGGCCCCCTCACTTCCTATAAGATAAAAGCCAATGCCCTTGGCATGATATTTAAGATGCTACAGATCCCAGACCTTGCGTGCCTCTGGATCCATGCCCTGCTGTGACTGACGTATTTTATGAAGATGGCTAAACCAATATCTTCCATCCCACATGCATCTCTTCCACTGTGACAATGACATTCCTTCATCAGAGGTAGAGTCTCCCTCCCCTTCAATCAGGGCTGATCTTTGTTACTTCCTTCTAATGAAGAGAATGAAGCAGAAGTGATGCTATGTGGCCTCTGAAGATGAGTCCTGACACTGATGGAGGATCCGTCTAGCTTCTTCTCCCTTGGGACCCTTAGAAGCCAGACCTCACATTGTAAGGAAGCCCAATCTTCCCTGCTCATGGAGCGGTCACGTATTGCTGTTCCCGCCAACTCCAGCTAAAGTTTCAATCTGCAACCAGCATCCACTGCCAGACATTACTGAAAGAGCCTCCGGAGGATTCCAGCCCCAGCCTTCATGCCAAATGGGGCAGAAATGAGCTATCCCACCAAGCCTTATATAGATGGCAGATCTGTGAACAAACTGAATGCTGGCATTGTTTGAAGCACAAAGTTTTTGGTTGCTTTGCAATGCAGCACTAGATTGCTTGTAACACCTGCTGCCACAACCTTGCCCTTCAAACTTCACCGAGGTCAAACTACTCAAGTTTCCCACAGCACACATTCATTATCTGTGTCTCTGCTCACAATCTGGACAGAATTATCTCCCCCTTCTTGGTCTGGAAAACTAATTCTTGGCATGTCTTGCCCAGCATGGGGCTCAGTTATGTGTCTAGTTCAAAGTTGCTTCTAAAAACCCCAGTACCCTGTTGCTGCAGAGGCCTCTTGATGGCTTGGCACATGGCTGGCATTAGAGGGAACACCCAGCAGGTGTGAGGGCTGTCATAGCAGCCTGAGAGAATACGAGGTCTGGACCAAACAATGGGCAGTGGGGATGCAGGGAGGCACCTGCAGAGGTTGAACTGATACGGCTGTCACCGATTCAAGGTGGAAGAAAAGGGGCAGAGTTTCCAGCGTCGGGGCCAGGAAGGGGGCAAGGCAATGTGTGGGAGACAGGGGCTCCAGGTGGGGGGCTGTATACAGAGGGGGAGGACAGGAGTTCAGTTTTAGAACACCCGAGTTTCTGCTCATAAAGCTCGGAAAAGACCAGTCTCCCTCTAGCCAAATTAGTAATGAATTAATAGGCGTGACTAACCTCTACCAAATTCCCCAGCAGTCTCATGAGAGGAAGGTGAGGACAGTGGGAGAAAAAAATCTGTCTCATGTCTTTCCTGAAAGGTATGCCTTTGTTCTTTTTCCAATAAATACAGAAATCCCCCGTTTTTTCCCCCTTGATACTAGATATCAGACTCTACCTAGAGCCGGCCGGCACCTTTTCACATCCTATGCCCCCTCACAGAGCCAACTTCATCACCAGCTTTTGGTCACTGCAGCCCTGCAGGTCTGGGTGCTTTATGGGTATCCTGATAAAAGTGCTGGCATATATGCAGGCCTCTCATTCCAATGGATTTAGCAGATGGAGAAGAATGAGAAGATACATGGCTGCAGGGAAGGGAGTGCCAGCAAGGGAAAGATGTAGATGGATGGTTCCAGCAGAGCCTTCTGGCCAGGACCACCCTGAGCTTATGCAGACTGGACCCTGGGACCACCACCCAGGCTGCTTGACCTTACCAAGAACCCACTCCATGGTCAGCATGAGATGAAGCAAGAGATACTTGCAAGAGAAATAGAACATAGGGTTTAAGAAACCATGTGGATGCCCTGGTGGGAGAAGGAAGAAGTTTGCTAGTTGAATTGCCATCACCCTCCACCATCCGTTAGACAACACAGTGCTACGGGTTTGGATAGTTTGGATTCAGAGTCAAACCAGTGTACGTTTCAATCTTGACTCTGCAAGGAATGGCGTGACCCTTGGCTCCTTATCTTACCTCTCTGATAGCAGCTTCCCTGCTAGGAAATAGGAACTCTGATGATTCCTGTTCATGGGGCTGTTGGGAAGCATCCACAGAGGCATGTTTAAGCACCTGGCACCCCCCTGGGCCACAGCGAGTGTCACACATATGAGGGATATTCAGTAAGTGGAGATTTCTCCCACTGCCTCACTTGCCCAAGTAACTGAGCCTCTCTGTTGCTTTCCATCCTCCTGCAGCATGAGAACTCTAGAGCAGAATTTCCCACAAGGTGCCCTGCAGAACACTATTCACTCGAGATGCTTGGAGTTGAAAGCATTCTCAGGAGGAAAAAGTGTGGAAAATTGTGCTTACTATCATCCTGCCTCTTGAATATTCACAAATCATTTTAGCATATTAAAGACTCTGAGAAAAGTCTTTGGTAAAAAACTGCTTAACTGTTTTATCCAACTTTCTCCATACTTCTCCAACCATGGATGCCCCTCCCACCACATACACTTTAACACACACACACACGTGTGTGTGTGTGTGTGTATATATGTATATACACATATATATATGTATATATAACAGATACTAGCACTTTGCAAAATATACTTTAAGGAAGAGCCCATGTCCCTTTTAGAAAGCGGCTTACAGTAGAATCAGCCTTGTGATTTCTTCACAAAACAAAAATAAAATAAAGACATATTATATGGGCCATATTATTGTTCTTAAAATAGCAAACCATGATTTTCTATCCCCTCACTCGACTTTTTTTCTTCTTCATGGTGCTTCCTGCTTCCTAAAATTATATCATTCTCGTTTACCAGCACCTCCCTCCACCAGAGACTGCATGGAGGAATGATGATGAATGGTTTTTAGGGTGCCACTTCCTCATTGCCTGGGACGATGTCCGGTCTGTAGCCGGGCTCACTTGTTGTCAGGTAAATGAATGTGTCTTTAAACACTCTTAACTCATGAGTCCTTGCTCCAGGAACTTGTCCATCAGACCAGCCATTCAGGAAGCTGCAGGTTCATTCCAATGGTCTGTCCTCAGTCATGGATGAATCCAAACCTTCAGTCCTCCCCTAGGTCAGTCCACAGGCCACAAAGGTCACAAGGCACAAAGCTGCATGTGTCTGCTCCCCTGCCCCT